ATAGAACTTGTTTGGGTTGCATTTTGAGTGCTTGAAAAAAAAAAAAAGAAAGACGAGAGCTCACAAGGCGATTCGAATGGATTCTGCTCCTCTTACTAGTCGATTCACGTTGATGGGTAATGAGAATTGGGAAACTACTGTAGGACACTTGGAAGACCTCCAATGTGTAAACCTATGGACTGTTGTCCTTTCGATTTGTTGTTGTTCAGAAAAAGTTACTCTCCAAAAATTAAAAAAAAAAACAAAAGAAAAGAAAAGACAGTCGAGTACTTAATTTGCATTTCATCTTGAGCGTGTATGAGTGTTGCATGGAGTTTTGATGGGATTGATTGGTTTCATGTTGATGTTGGGATAGGTGGTGGAGCAGTCGAGTAGTTTATATGCTCGAGAATTTGATTGTTTATTTGAGTCGCTTTATCTTTATTTTGGTCTTCCCCTTGTGCAAACTTCCTTTATTGCAACCCTAGAAGTCCTCTTGATTTGCACTTCATGATTTTTGATTGTCTTTAGAGTATGAATAGACAATGAGCAAGCTTATGTTGATGCATGATGATCGACTAATTTGAGCGTATCCACTTCATATTTATGAAAGAAGCTGTGTGAGGCATATATGTATTATATTTCCGTGCTTGAGAGTTTGTCTTTTCAAAGCGTTGCATTCGAGTTGTAATTGAGGTGTGCTATATTGGTCATTGGAAGTCTCCTCGGCTAAGTTGATTAATTTGAGGCTTGTCTTATTTGAAACTGTTATCCATGCTCGTTTGCTTGCTTTCGTTTCTTTTCTTTTCTTTTTGTTCGGGACGAACAAAGGTTTTAGTGCGGGGGAGTTGTTTGTCCCATTTTTGTTGCGTTTTTCTTACTTATTTTTCATTTCTTTTTCTCCAGTTTTAGTTCTTTTCATTCGTTTTTAGTTCTTTTTTTATATTATTGCGTGTTTTCCTTTATTTGGTGTCGTTCTGTATTTTTCGGTCGTTTCTCGGTTTTCTCCGCTTTTGTGTTTGTCTGTGGTGTGTAGGTCAGGTGCCTCGTCGACTATGATTTTAAGGAGAAAAATACTTTTGGGCAATCCCAATATGTAGAGGGCTTCATTGGCGACAAGCAGGAAAAAACGGAATCGAATTCCGAGTCCAGACGAACCCGAACGGGCCCGAGAAACTAAGTCGAGCAAGCTGTCTGGACTGCCGCGCCAGGCCCTCGCGCCGCTACACCTGCCACGGGCTTCAGACGGTGCATCTCCCAGTACCGCGCTGCGGAGCGCCCCGCGCCGTGCCAGCATTCCAGCGCTGCGCCGTGACTACCGCGACCAGGTTTTCTCTCCACGCCGCGACGCTACGCGCGAGACTCACCACGCCCCGACAGAGCACTCACGCACCGGACCTGCCACGCCGCTGAGAAGCCCCGTGCCGCGGAGCACTACCCTGCCGCGCCGTGCCCTCCTTGCCGCGCCGTGCCTGAGCCACCCCGCCGTGATGCTGTGGCAAGTATAAATATGGATCGGGCTCGACNAATTCCGGCATAATAAGAATTCCAGCGCTGCGCCGTGACTACCGCGACCAGGTTTTCTCTCCACGCCGCGACGCTACGCGCGAGACTCACCACGCCCCGACAGAGCACTCACGCACCGGACCTGCCACGCCGCTGAGAAGCCCCGTGCCGCGGAGCACTACCCTGCCGCGCCGTGCCCTCCTTGCCGCGCCGTGCCTGAGCCACCCCGCCGTGATGCTGTGGCAAGTATAAATATGGATCGGGCTCGACAGAAAAAGGTGACCTCTCATTCCCACATGTTCCAGAAACAAGAAAACCCTACCATTCGTCCCTTTCACTAGTTTTTCATCGTTTTCTTCATATTTTTCATTGTTGAACACGGATTTGCACTCGGATTTTGCTATTGCTTTTGGAGTAATCTTGTTTATCAGATTCAACCCTCAATTTCGGTTAATCGTAAGATTTTCTATTCTTCTAATCCATGAATATGTTTGTCTTGATTTGTGAGATTGTTTGTGTTGAATCAATCATGAGTAGCTAAATTCATATGCTAGGGATGGGGATTGATGTTTTGAAATCGTTTGTGATTGTCGGGCTCAGGATTGTTCAATTTCATACGAGTTGATCTTTTACTACGGTTTTTCAATTGTCGGGCTTGAGTATTTAGAATTGTTGAAGGGTGACACTTCAATCACCAATTGTTTACAATTGAGTTCGATTTATTTGTTGATGTCGAAAATCGGACGATCAACTATCAAATGTGAATCGAATTGTTGAATGAAAAATGAAGGACAAAATTGATAGAAAATGATCTTTCTTTATTATGGAAGAAGGTGAAAAATGGAGAGAGAGGCATCCAACCTCCCCCCCCCCCCCCCCCCTCTCTCTCTTGTATTGTGGGGGATAAAAAATATGAGGAGAAGCCTGTTAGTGTTATATACTGAAAGCTTGGCTTTGCATGTTATTACACATTTACCCTTTATGAATGAGAATCATGTTAGATTAAACAAGTTCTACGTTCTGTTGTTCTGCACTTAGATAGGGTGGGTCGTCATCGGGCGAACCGAAGATCACTCTATCAGTCACTTGCGAACAAGAATAGTTGTTCACAACCTAGATGGACATGAACAC